GAGCCCTCAGAGAGAGTGTGGCCCTGCCAACACCTTGATTTCAGGCTTCTGGCCTTCAGAACTATGAGAGAATACATTTCTGTTGTAAGCCACCCAGTTTGTGATCATTCGTGACGGCAACCATAGGAGCCTAATGCATGCCTATTGTTACACTGCATTCCAGGCTTGTGTTGGGGCTTCAAACCCTCTGTGACTGCTCAGTAAATTCTTCCCAAACCTGATGGATGTGTTCTCACGTCAGACACTCTCAGGCCAGACTGTTCTCCCTTCCTGAGGGAGAAAGAAGCAGTCCGATGACATCGACATTCCCTGCATATTCCCTTTTGCAGACTCTGTAAACAGCTGTATTCCTGTGGTCGCTGCAAGCCAACCAAACATGGGAGAGTGAAACCATTTGTAACCATCTGGAGGACACAGCCAGATCCTCTTTGCTCTGAAATGCCTCTGAGTTTAGAAATCTAAACACATATTCCAGTTTGTCAAACTTCCTGAAGGACTGGGATATATTATATGGTTGCACAACACAGCTCGATGACTGCACTGCCTGCATCTCCCTCCACCCCCATGCTAGGACCCATGTTAGGAGAGAAGGTGGGCTGCAGAGGGCTGGAGTCAGAGGATGGAAAACAGAGGAGCCTGGTGAGCAGGCTTAAGAATCAAGAACCTTCCACTGGGCTGTAGAAAGAAAACCTGTCATGCTCCTGTCATCAGAGCTAAAAAGCAGTATAGGGTGGTGGTTACATGTTGGTGCCAGTGGCCCCAAATTGCTAACCAGCTGTGTGTCTTTGACCAATTCAATCTCTAAGATCTGTTTTACTTATTTGCAAAATGGGGACAGTAACTACACCTACCTCTTAGAGTATTGTGCGGATTACGTGGGCTAAATGCATGAAAAGTACTTTGACCAGTACCTGGTTCAAGGCAGGTATATATGAACAGAAACAGCTACTGTGAAATACTCAGGAGAATCCATGATAATAAAGGCAGTAGGTTCTTCCTAGCCACAGAAATCTGTCAACAATGCATCCGTTTCCTGTGAACGAGTGATTAAAAAACTTCCACAACTTATCGTTGTATTTTATTTTATTTTTTTTAGTTTGTTTTTAAACAAACTAAACAGGGCTGGCCAAAGCCTCATACCACAAAATTCCTCCATGCCTTCACTCATGCCTCCAATTCCACTGCTAAAAGCTTCACCCTCTAGAATCAAGGGCGCTAAGCAAACTATCTGCAAAGGGCTAGAGAGTAAATATTCTCGGTTTTATAGGTTAATGTGGTCTTACATATTTTTCTCATTTTGAAAATTTATAACAACATTTAAAAAATATGAAACACATTTTTTTTTTTTAACTGGAGAGGGTAAGCAGGCGACATTTGACTCAAGAACCATAGTTTGCCAACCTGCGTTTCATGAGACTCAGTTTTCTGATTAAATTACCACCTGCATAAAAGAGGTTCTGGGAGGCGTCTGAGGGGGGAAGGGGTTTTCTGTGTTCTCTGCCTCTGTCTCTGTCAGGAGAGGAGAGATGGCAGTGATGGTCACAGAGGAAAGGACCCACTGAAGGGACTAAATGGCTGAAAGACATAAAACAGACCTGGATGCCTGACTCAAATCCCCACACTGTCTGACTCCGCCTGAAGCCAGCCTATTTCAAAGTATTGAACCATTAGGGAGGAACAAGTGAGATCTAGACTCACATCTGCACTTTGCTATGCCTTTCCTTCCGCGGCTCAGAGATGCTGCCATTGTTCAGCAATCCAATCCAGCAAGATGCTCAGAAGTTAAAATGCTAAAATCTTATTTCACAAATCATTTATTCCCATTGGCAGACTCTCCTCATACCATAACCTTTCATTACAAGCAGCAGAAGAAAGAGCTACAGTTCCACTCCGACAACAAGAAAGAACTCCCTGGATGATAGAATGAGATCAGTAAACGCAGACACCATGGCCAGGAGACTCCCATCTGCGTTTGGCAGAAAACTGCCTTGTGAAGATGCTCGCCACTGGGTCCTGACAGATGAGACTTCACAGAGGAGAGAAGGAAAGGGCTGAAGTTTAATAAAATTGAGCCTGGAAGGAATGTAGGCTACTTCTTCATCAAAGAGATGAAGATGACAGATCAAGTTTTTCTTTAGCCAAAATATCGAAAAGAAAAAATTACAAACATGTATAATAACATTTGGAATGATAATCCTTAATGGTTTCTACTATACCGAGGCATAAATCTCAAGGACTCCTTGTTTCCTGCTAAAAGTTCATTCTTTCCCTGAGTTTCTTTATATACAGTGTATTAGTCAGGTTTATCCAGCAAAACAGAACCAATAGTTACACACATGTGTAAGATGATTGTGATTGATGGATATATAAGATACTTATATGTAAGAAAATCTATGCATTCTATTGGTGGGATGTGTGTGTGTGTGTGTATGTGTTTGTGGGGAGAGAGGGAGTAGAGAGAAAAGAGATAAAGACGAGACAGAGAGTTTTGTTTACAGAGGAGGCTGGGTGCGGAGACTCATACCTGTAATCCCAGCACTTGGGAGGCGAAGGGCAGAGGATGGCTGAGGCCCAGGAATTCAAGACGCATCTTGGGGAAGACAGTGAAACTTCATCTCTACAAATTAAAAATAAAAATAGCCCAGGCGGGTGATGTCTGTTGATCCCAGCCACATGAAGGCTGAGACAGGAAGAATGCTTGGGCCCAGGAGGTTGAGGCTGCCATGAGCCATGTTCATGCCACTGCACTCCAGCCTCAGTGACAGAGCGAGACCACGCTCAAAAAAAACAACAAACAACAACAACAACACAACACAAAAAGACTCCACACAATTGTGGGCTGGCAAATCTAAAATCTACAGGTGCCAGCGGCTGAAACCCCGGAAACAGTGGCTACTGGCGGCTGAGTCAGAGTCAGTCTGCAAGCCAGAATTCTTCTCTCAGGTGATGTCAGTCTTTCTCATAAGTCTTCAACTGATTGGATGAGCCCACCCAATTATGGGTCTGGCCTTACTTGAACCTACAATTTAATGTTATCTCATCTAAATTATTTTATAGCAAACATATCTAGACTGGTATTTTGGACCAAATACCGTGGTACTACTATGGCTTAGCTAAATTGACACATAAAAATTAACCATCGATGCTTGTCATTCCTATTAATTTCTTTGGGCTCCCCAAATAAGCCACAGTACTAGATAATGCAAAATTGTGACTCTGTCATCCTTTACTAGAATGGCCAAAGAGAAACACAGCAATGGATTATCCCTAAATGGCATATCCTATCCTTAGAAAAGCAGTTGGCTATAAGTGACAAAATCAAAAACAATGAATTGAAAGAGAGTTTTATTTTCTCGCATATCAAGAAACCCAGTGAACCATTACAGGTGGCAGCGGCCCACACCTGTAATCCCAGCCTTTGGCAGGCCAAGAAACAGAGGCGCTTGAGCCCAGGGTTTGAGACAGCCTGGAAAACATGGCAGGACCCCATCTTCAAATAATAAGATTAGCTGGGCATGGCAAAATCAGCCTGTAGTACCAGCTACTCAGGAAGCTGAGTGGATCACTAGGCTCAGGAGATTGAGGCTGTAGTGAGCAGGATGCC